TAGAGAAATAATTTAATCAATAATCTTGATAATCACCCACTAGCATATTGCTTTGAAAAGTGTATATGCACAACTAAAGGATTATTGATACACATACATTATGAAGGATAAAATTCCGTACATATTAAAACAAAGCTTGAGCAATAACATTCACAGAATAAAATGAAGTTTTACGAATGTTTTCCATAACTTGTAAACAGTCTAAACTGACGAATAATAATATTATTAAGAAGTGAAGTTGGAAATACTTCAAGGATAGGTGATAACGAGAGAAAAAAGAAGAGATTACATCTGACATTAAATATTGTGATCAAAGTTATGCATATTTCTTTGTGGCGAAATTAGTCTTGTCATATATAGGCTAGATGAAATGTGAATTAATAGAAAAATATAATGGAAATCACATCAAATGTTCAGTTAAAGCATTATTTTTCTGTTGTCAACTTTCTATGCGTATAAATTTATACGTAGCTGTAGAAGCTCATCCAAATAATAGTCTGTCGATAAAGATTTCTATAAAGTTGTTTTGTCTGAACTTATTCATATCATCTACTTCACCGTGAAGAGCTCTGTTATTTTGTGTGCATTCTATTGGGGAGGGTTCTTTAAATATCAACTATAAAAAATTGAAATCTTATGAATATTCTTTGTAGTTGTGAATATTCAAGGGGAAATAATATTTTTGAAACGTAACAAATATCATAAATTGAAACAGTATTACGACTAGAAAGAATATTTCTGATTATTTTATGTTTTTGTTCAATTTGGAGTTTTCTGTATAGTTCTGATGAATAAATCTGATTATATTGCTAAAATGGAAGGAATGCTAGATGATCCTAGCAAATTTCAGAAAGTCACCAGTAATAACGACATCAATAAAAAAGTGGAAAAACAACTGACGAATTCGCTTAAAGAACTAAAGAAAAAGGGAGTAATTGCGTCTGAAATTCACGATTCAATTAAACCGACTGGATCGTATACACCGCGACTATATGGTTTGCCAAAAGTCCACAAATCGGGTCTTCCTCTGCGCCCGGTCCTAGATATGTACAATTCTCCTTACCACAAAGTTGAGAAGTGGTTAGTGAGAATTTTAGAGCCTTTACATAAATCAGTTGTGCAAAGAAGTGTAAAAGATGTTTTTGAGTTCACTTCCAAAGTGGAAAGTATGAATGTTAGCAAGAAAATTATGATCTCACTGGATGTGGTTTCGTTGTTCACTAACGTACCACTCCTCGAGACTATTGATTTCATATGCGAGCAAATTAAAGAAAAACAAATCAACATTGGCTTGCCCGAAGATTGCCTTAAGGAATTACTCCTAAGATGCACAATGAATGTCCATTTCGTATTCAACAACAAGTATTATAGGCAGATAGACGGTAAAGCCATGGGCTCACCTCTAGGCCCGATTCTAGCTGATCTCTTTCTAGCAAAGCTAGAAAATGGAACACTTAACGAAGTTATTCAAAAACTTGATCTATATTGCCGTTATGTCGATGACACATTCATCATTGTAGATCAGGACACCAGGAAAGAAAAACTTTTAGAACAATTCAACAATGTACACCCGGCAATCACGCTCACTGGTGAAGAAGAATATGATGAAAAACTGTCTTTCCTTGACATCACACTAAGTAGGCGAAAGGATGGTACACTAAGTAGAAGCGTGTATCGAAAAAATCCCAGTGCTTGCCAACACACTCATTTTTGTAGTTTTACACCTATCCGCTACAAAAGAAATCTGGTTAGATGTCTCACTTACAGAGCAAATATGATATGTTCAATGGATACTGTAAGTCAGGAGCTGGAATTCATCAACGGCTCACTAACCGAGATTGGTTATCCAAGCGCATTCTTAAAGAAGTATATGTCTGCCGTAAAAAAGAAGTCGGTGGTTTCGACCGCCCAAAAGAAGCCTTTGTTTATGAAGCTACAATTCAACGGAGATGTGGCCTGCGATACTCTGCAGGACAGATTAAGAAGAGTAATTAACAGAACATTCAACGCTGCAAAACTTGCATTGACATTCTCCAGTCGACCTGCGATGTCTACTCAAACGAAAGATAAGTTACCTGAGCTGGCCTCCTCTATGTGCATTTACAAATTCAGCTGCTCCTGTGGAGATAGCTATATCGGGCGTACTTCTAGGCAACTTACACAACGAATGAGTGAACATCTCCCAGCATGGTTTACGAAGGGTCAGTCAAAAACAATACGCAGTTCTATCTTAGCACACCTGGTAGATAGTGGTCAGATTGTAGATAAATCTAGATCTTTTCGGGTGATCTATCGTATACCTCCATCATTTCCCAACAGAGTTCGATCCCGTCTCCTACACATTGCAGAAGCCATAGGAATACGTACATTCAACCCTAATTTATGTGTTCAGAAGAAATTCGTGACACCCCTATCTCTTCCGTGGCCGGATATGACGTAACTAACGATTGACATATTTTTATTATTTTTTATTTATTTTTTATTTTTTTATTTCATTTTATTTTTACATATTTGCTTATTACGTAATGTTTTTGACGTTTTTGATGATTATTTGAATTCTATTCATCCACCCTTGACCTACTTTAGTTATCATATTTTATAAATTTTCTTACTACTATCAGTACACCTGTTTTCCTATTATCCACTTGAACTTTTGCCTATTAGATGTAGTTACGTAATCTTTTTCATTTCATTGTGATTATCACTCAAATTGCCTTGATTGGTTTAACATTTTCATATAAATATTCATGTATATTACAGTAAAGCCTGATGACGATCTAATCGAAAACAATATTGTTCGCTTATATGTGTTGTTCTAATTTTCACAATGGGAATCTTTAAAAATCCTTTTTTTAATAGTCACTGATTTATATAGAAATTTGTCACTTCATAAATACCATATGATTTATACAAATTGGTGGAATTCATCCATATAAGATGAGTGTGGTTAATGACAGTATCTTTCTGTATTGAGTAATTAATTGAAATTGTGAAAAAAGCACCGCTGACCAGCTAACTGAATATCGATTTATAGGCACTAGGTTCGATTCCAGGCCATATCATAGGTTATCCTTATTGAAAGGTGTTATAAGAGGACAAAACAGCTATTAAGTCTGCACTAATTTTAGTCAATATCAGGCTAAAATCATTTTGTGAGGAAAACAGAGCGCATATATTTGGACAAGTCCGGAAAGAATTATTAAATTGCAAAAGCAATATATTTTAAGCAGAACTCTTCAAAGAATGTTTTTCGTATTTTCAAGTAAATATACAGGAAAATTTTGCTTGCTTGCTTGCTTAATATCTATTGGAATTTATTCAAAGTGATAGATGATGAAAAATAGCTCCTTTGTTTGGAAAATTTGCATAGCCTCTAAGAACTAACTATGAGTAGTTTATTGAAGAAATCAATGACTTCAGTATCAGATTGTCAACATAGCGTTGCGGTAATTGTTAAGTTTCATTGAATTCATGAACTGATCTATGTGAGTTCGTCATTGAAAACCTGAAGGCATTGGACGGCCGTTTTTTCCTGGTATGGAAGTCATCAAACAGTGTGCATCTATGACACTATAAGTGTAAGTCAAAATCGAAACCTTCAGTTTAGAATGCAAACGTCTAGCCTCTAAACTACATTGTAGGTTTCCAACAATGTTAATGTCTAACTTCCATTTATGCATGATGTTGTACGACCATTATCCATAGCCTCCGGTGGGTGAACGCTTTAACAGTCAACACGGTTGAATTCCACTGTTCATAGCTTCTTAGTTGATGATTTCAATGAAACTAAATATGAGATAATTATGGCTGAGGATGAGGCACAACTACAATGTCTACGTAATTGAATGCACTGTTAATTCTCTAATTCTCTAATCTCTTTAAAAAAACATTGTTCAGATTTTAAAATATGATATTTAAACTCGTCAATACTCATAAGTTTTCTAAATAATTGATACATTTCTTTTTAATAAAGAAGATATTAAACATGAAGATTAGCTTAATTCCACTCCTAATATTTTGGACGGAGTAAATATCATCTGTGATGTACAGAATTAGCTGACAAGCCCGAAATAATGAAAAAAAACATCCTTCTGAAAAGATTTTGTCTGCTATGATCAAATAATTACATGTTCAGATAAGTTGAATCTATAATTAACATTACATATAAAGACGATAGTGACAGAAGAATATAAATAAATAAAATAAATAAATAAAACTCTGTTAACGTTTATACTATTGTGGCGCGAGCTACTTATAAGTAGTATATGACGTGAGCGTCAACGTAATGTCTGGCAGCCGAAGATGGGGGGAAGATCAAGAAAGGAAGAGTTAGAACACAATGGAATTTGTATGAAACGCATGAATAGTGACAATCGATTGATGTTTGGCAACAGGAACAGTCCAATTCGATAGGATGAACTGATAATTTGCAAATGAACGATTTACAATATGGTTTTCCAATTTTACTGAGTAACACTGTAATTTCGCTAAATACAATTCGGTTGCCCCACCTGTGTTCTCGTTCACTACACTATAATCAAGATATGACAAAATATATTTTGAGATTTGCATAAATTAATTGCTCAATCGTTTACTTCTGTCATGGTATCTAGTTCTTAATGATGAAAGAATCCTGTGTACATATGTATGTACTATGTACTACTTCAATAAATTACTAACTTGACCAAAAGTTTTATAATCGATTATCTAGAATGTTCGAATATACGTTCACAATTCATGTTGAAGACGATAATTGTTGATGACATTGAAATTTACTGTGAAACGTATTTACAAATTTTTAGCTTCCATTGCACTGCTTATTAGGAACTGATTAAATTTTTGTAAAATAAGGATTCAATCAAAATAGGCTCATAAATAAACACAGAATATTTTCATTATCTTTCAGCCAATATTCAAAAGTAGATGTCATGGATCATTTTTAGTTGTTTCATTTTGAAAACATGATTAAAAACATGAATGAAAAGGATATATATTCTTACCTGCGCTGCATTATGCTTCGTTCACTGTCATCTGCTATATCTTCCACTTCAGATTCTATATTAATTAAGGGTGATTTTAATGGGATTTTATGTAAATCATCAGTATTATCATGTTTATCAGCAATTTGAGATTCCGTTGTAAGAGGTAAAAACTGTTCTTGCTCTTTAATCACTGCTATTTTCACAGATTTACTGGTATTTTCATCTTCTTCAACCGAAATCTGTGGTCCAGTTCCCACTGTCGTTGTAGAATTTTTATCTGCAGCTGTAATTGATGCTTCTGGAGGATGAAAGACTCGAGAATCACTACCAGAAATTCGTGTAGCGGTTAATGGTTGTTCTTCATCTGTTCTACTCTCTAATAATCCACCCATAGTCCCTGTTGGCCTCCATGTGTATGTTGAACTTTTAGTTTTCTCAAAATTTTCTCTTAATCGTCTTATACGAGAATGACAACCTGAGTTCAAATAAGAAGTTTGACAAGTGTTCAAGTAGTTTGTGACACTATTTGAACGTTGTTCATCATTCAATTCTTTGTTAAACTGTACATTTTTTACATCATTTCTATCTAAACTTGGTTGCTTTGAAAAATAGTTTACATTCATATTTCCTACTCTTAAATGATCTTGAATTAGTCTGCCTGATTGATTTTCATTGATGGTTTCATATTGCTTAAATAACATCTCGTTATACGTATTAGCAGAATGTGTATGCAAAGACATATTACTACTATCATGACTGGGTGGTCTATCATTCGTTTCATATGAATTTTGTCGCTTATAAATATTGTATTCATCTGTGTAATCACTATCATCTGTCCATCCTCTGACTAATCCTGGTACACTTAAAGTTTCTTGTAACCTGGTCATATCTGTTTCGGGTAGATTACTATTATGAATAGTTTCAAATTGATTATGTTTTGTCCTTGGTGATGATGATGTGACTGTAGCAGAACGTGCCAGTTGGTACTTCATTTTATCATAATAATAGCTATGTTTTTGTGGATGAATTTCTGAAACTGGTTGACTTGTCTTACTTGCATTACTTGTATCACTTGAAAGATTATGTCTATCCCTTGTTATAGAGTCTACCGGTACTTCATGATTGTACATAACTTGTTCTATGGCTAAAGGATCAATTGTTAAATTAGAGCAATTATATTCATGATGATGTTCATCTAATAAAGCCTCATTATTTTGATGAAGGCGCTGTTGAGCCAATGGTTTATGTTTATTATTTTCTTCTATATTCAATTGTTCTTTTAGTTGTGATACACTATGGCTTTGTAATTGAGGTGTCGTTAGTTGATGCTGTTGTTTCTGAACATCCTTCAATTCTTTCGTTGAACGACCATCTTTAGCTGCTAATGTAAGTACAGTGGCGCCTAAAACACCACCACTTATTAAGTGATGAAATGGACTTTGTTGACTAATTCCAACTGGACCTCCGGTACTACCACCACTACTACTTCTTGTTGGAAATAAACCAAGACTACATGGATATTTACTAATATTTGAATGTTTTATCTTTGTTTTAGTCTCTTGATTCTCATCTTTACGTGAAGTTTGTTGTTGTTGTTGTTGTTGTTGTTGTCGTTGTTGATTTTCCAATTCTTTAGCAGCTTTAAACTCTTTTACATGTCTCAATTGTATTAAACCTAAATAAAGAGGAAGAAAAATATAAATATAGATTATCAATTACAGTTATGGGGATTAGTATTTTTACACATTTGAAATCATTAATCAGTCACTGTTAGACCACCATTAGAAACCTGGAAACACTGGAGGGCCGTTTCGTCCTGTTATGGGACTCGTCGGAAGTGCTCATCCACGACTCTTGCACCTCACAGGGTTCGAACCCAGGACATTCAGTATTGTGCGCGCATGCCTAACCTCTGGACCACTGGACCGGCATCTAACGGTGTTAATGTCTAACTCTGATATATTCGAACAGTCCAGTAAAGGGTTATTATGAAAACATAAAAAAAATGAGTGAAAAACTATTAGTTCAACAAAACACCTGCAGCTAAATTAATCCAAAGCATATGCAACATTAAAAATTCCAAGTTGTATGGCTTTTGTAATTAATTGTTAATTATATGGAAAGAAAAAAAAAACACTAAGTCAGGACAACTATCCAATATTTATTTAATACTTCAGAGTTCATTTGAAGGCTACACTGTACAAAGCAAAAATCTTAACTAGTTATACGTATATTTAGTAAGGATAGTGATAAAAAAAAGATTTTTATAAAAGCAAAATCCATGATAAAGTTGAATAGATAATAAAATTTAACTGATTCAATAAATGTATATTAGCACTATCTTATTCAATGAGACAACTAATAATATCACATTCTCAGTGTATTTTTTAAAATCTATTCTCAGTAATGACAATAAAATCATGAAAAGATCAATGTTAGACCACCACTGAAAACTAGGAAGCGTTTGATGACCTTTTCGTCCTAGTGCGGTACAACTCAGTACTGCTCATCCACAACCCCATACATAGGAATCGAACCCAGAACATTCGGTTGAGTAATATTATGGATTCGTTAGAGTTACACATTGGATATCGACTCAGTGGTTTAGAGTTTAAGCGTTCGTGAAGGATCTGGATCGAGATAGGTTCACTGCTGTTGAGTTCCATACTAGGACAAACTGGCCATCCAATGCTACCCAGTTTTCAATGGTGGTCCAATTTTGATTGATTCACGTCACTTGGCAAGCACAAAACACTTCGGGCAGATGTAATTGATACTAGCTATCCGCGTTTTCTACGCTGGTCAGTTTGTGGTATTATACGATCCTAATACAGTGCTTTTCTAGCACATATTAGTTCATTTTGAAAATTAACCTTTGAATATATACAATATTTCTAGTGAAATCAACCATAATATCTAATCACTTTATATGCTCTGATATTCATCAGGGTGGGAAAAAAAATCAAAGAAGAGAATTAGTATATATTTCACCTGAGATAATATTGAATTTTACAAAAACCAGCTTTAAGCCACGGATTATTATAATCAATATTAGCTGTAATGATAACAATAGTATAATCCTTCTCAGTGATTATCCCATTTACCAGTTTTTCCGAACAGCTGATATATTCATCTCTAAGATGATGCATGTAAGAATTTAAATTTTCTTTTTGTTGACACCAGAGATCCAGCAGACTGTTATATGTTCATGCTAAGTAGGTATTCTCGATATTGTCTTTCAGCGTCAAGCTTAATGCTAGCTTATGCATTGTAAATATTTAAGCGTTTTTGTGGATACGGTGGAATTTTTCACAGTTGAAATCGGGAACAGATCTTACCAGTGAAAATAAACACTGAACAGTATTTTTGTCTTAGGATGGGACTTTTTATGTATGGCTCATCCACTATCTAATTTCCAGGGATCAAACCCAGGACCTTCAGTCTCATTAGTGAACAGTTAACCTGTAAACAATTAAGCCGGCATTCATTGGTTAGTCGTTGTAATTAATACTTCAAATGGATCATCACATAATGATATCGAACGTTATGTTTTTTTATTGTTATCAAAAAGTTGACATCAAGAAAATATTACAGGAAAAGCAATTAAAAATTCTGTGATATAAAAGTGTTTTAACATACTTGACTTATGCGGCAAATAACTAGATATCATGAAAATTGCAAATAGAACCATACATATATATACATACAAATATATGTATATACAAATGTATGTATAAAAATACACTCTTGTTTCGCACGTAGAATAGTCATTTATAATTAATTTATAAATGAACTTCATCGCCTATCACAATAATACTAATTATTCTACTAATGAATTGAATAATTATAATGAAACGGAATAGAAAAACTAATGAGAATAAAACATGCAAATGTAAAACAGTTAATTCATTGTTTTATCATCATTAATAAAATTAAACAGTGTTTTATAAAAAGTGTGTGAAATAAAAAGGACATTTTCTATTATTTAACTATGGTATATATATATATATATATATATATATATATATATATATATATATATATATATCCCTGTTCTTTTCACTTAGAACACAAACACTACACTAATGATTGTAATATTTATAAGCTAATAATGTCTCTTACACTTATTAAAAAAAGTTATCATTTTTAAATAGGCGGTTTATGCAATAAACACTTTATTCTATCCAATTGATTTAGACAAATCAATGTAAATTCCACACAATCGTATTACTGTTCATATTTAGTAATCATACACTGATTATTAACTTTAGTGACAGTTGACTAGCAATGCATCATAAGCATTGTTCATCACTAACAATGAAAAAGAGAGAAATTTGAAGATTTTCAAAGGCGATAAATTAATAATTGCTTACAGACTAGTTTTAATATCTAATGCTTAAAAAGTTTAAAAAAAACAAACTTTAATATGGAATTTTACTTAGCTATTTGATTAATTATAAATAGATACTGTTGAAGAGTTTCATATCAGTTTATTGTAACGGTATTTCGTGACAGAATATTTACTTTGAAATCATTTTAAACAAGTAAACTTATCTCGAAGTAGATGTGGACATTTCCTCAGTTCAATTTAAAACAATCAAATGTGAATAAATTTCCTAACTTATTTTTAATCTAAATAATTTTCAAACTATACTGTATCCATTGTGTATCAATCAATATTGTTCATAATGAAAGATTTAAGATGTTGACCTACTAAATCATTAACATTGAATACAAATTTCGTCAAAAACATTGTATCACATACAGGAAATTGTAAACAATAAACTGAAAAGCAAACAAAGTCACATTGTCAATTCCTTATCAAAATGTATCATGCATCTTTATTTCAATTTATGTAGATTATCAGCATGTTGGATTTAGTGTTTCAATGAATAATCAAATATTTACTCATCAGAAAAAAAGCAATGTAATTTTAACAAAATGGTAGCGTTTTTCTATTGATTGAATTTTATTGATTGTAATCTGATTGCAATCAGACACTTCATTATTTACATGAAACGGTTAATTTAATTGGAAGCAGACATAATCGCTTTTGCTCGCTCATTCAAAATCACGAAATAAATAATCATGTTTCATTTGAAGTGTTCCCTAATTTTTGTTTTTCCTTACTTAAACAATTGTACTTATATTTACATTAATTGATCTATTTTATATGATAATAGTATGTATACATTGAATAACATAATAGAACAAACAAATTCAATTCAGATTAATTTTATTATTCATGTATTAAAACGCACTTAACACATTTTTTTTTTTTACCAATTTTTCATTTTCTTTTAAATAAAATTAAATTTTATGCTAATCGCTAAAATCATTAACTTCAATATTTTTAATTACATTCAAATGAGCAAGCAAATGAAATGAAACTTCCTGTTTTGAATGTTCAGACATTTCTCCTTTTTATTGAATAATGAATTGTTGTTGTGTTTCTATATGTTATGCTGGTTCGTAGAGAAGAGTTTTATGTAAAAGCAGGATTAGTATTATTATTTCGTAAAGCACCCTCGTATAATAATAATATATAATGGATGGAGTATGGCTTGTAGTGGAATGTAGGATTTAGGTTTCACCCTATTAGGGATTCGTCAGCTGTATGTACCTGCGTCATAAAGTTGATGTACACTGCAGAAGTCCAAAACAGTAACGTTTGCTTGAGACGCTGTCTCAATATCAAACCAAAGGCGACCAGGTTTCAGTCAAAAATATCAACAAGAGAATACCTGAAACCGTCCCCAATGGAGTTAAATGATCACAGTAGTTATAATAGACAATTATTCAGTGTTTCTACACTTAATTGAAATGAAAATAAGAGCAGAAATATTTTTAATGGGTAAAATTGTATTTTTGTTTTCGTAAACTCGTATTTATCCGCATTTTTAATCCAAATATTTGCGCGAAATTGATTGTGAAATAGTCGTTTAGAGATATATTTTGAATTATCATTGTAGTACATTTGAAAGAATTAATGTAAACTTCACATGAATGCGTTGAATCCATAGGACTGAAAAAATTATGATAAAACTGTCGATAACTATAAAATTGTATTAAGAAAGCGATCTTGTTTGACTATTAATGATGGAATATCAGTCAGTAAATTGTTCATACCCAAATGTTATGCAGATTGAGTTGCATATGTTTTGAATAACCTACTATAAAACTAGTTTCAGTAAAGCAACAATTCAATTAAAGTTATTATCATGAGTTTTAGTCGATAAACTGCTACTTGGATTGATGAATAAATAATGTGTTAAATATTTTGAGCATGTAATGTTCATTTTATTTACAAACCTTCCCATTTTAGAATACCATCATTGGTAGATAAAGAATATCCAAAATAGATAATTACCAAGAACAATCCTCTAGAGTGACAAGTGTATGCACTCATTAATAAAGCATTTGGATCTTTAAAATGCTTATCAACGTGACATTTGTTTTGTTGGTTATCAGTACACATTACTACTCAGTCTAATCTGAAAAGAACTGATCTGTCTATCATGATAACTGAGTTAAAAGGTCAACCTGTTAACAGGATATCAGTTTTAATTCTATGTGACAGATATTTTACTATGTTCTCATGTAAAAAACCAACTTTTCACTCTCTGCGACATTATTTCTCTCATGCTAACTGGTTATTTATTTGAATTTTAATCA